AACCGGCATGCCGCTACAAGATCTAAAGTTTGAGCCTTCCGAATTCGGCGAATGGCGGGCCCCAAGTCCTCTCCTTGCTGCATCCCAGGGGTTCCCAGGCGGGCAACTCAAGCGGAGGCGGCCAAACTCAGCCCAGTATTCCGGCCCAGTTCGTAGCAGCCAAGCGTCAGCAACAAACTGCAACAGCTGGCATCAAAAGGAGAAAGGAATCATCCGTGGAAAGCTTGAGGAGGCCTCAAGAACTCGTCACGGGCTCCACGAAGCAGGTCAGTGTTTTCAAGCAAGATACATCCCAACGTCTGTTTGTAAGGACACGGGGAAGGATACCGAGACCGAGACAGACGGAGGGAGAGGGCAGTATTTCCGGTCTACGGATGAACCGATGCAGAGGCGTATCAACGGCCACTCCTGTGCCGCTTTTTCACCTGTTACAAAAGAGGCGGCTGCGGAATGGCAGTCACAGTCAATGCCACCATATATGCCTCAGCCTGCGAGCAGACCTGTACAGGGAAAGGCACTGCCGAGAAGAAGACGCCGCGTGTCAGTGATGCGGGACGGCGGCGCAGTTCCCGTTAAGGGGATTGAGGGACTTTAAAGGATATAGCCTCCCAACCGGAGCCGTATACCCCAAATGCATCGCTTCATGCACTCGTGCATGCCCACTCACACTTGTTTGCTGATTTCCCATGGAGCTTGAGTCGTTGTGGGTGTGCAGAGCTTGCGTGAGCAGCTGCGCTTCCACTTGAACGTATAGTTTTGTGTTGCTACCAGAGAGCTGACGCCGACCATTTACAGCGGAACTGAGCCCGCGTTAGCTATGTTGCCTTTGTGGTCTTTTCCCTCCTGAGGTGTGNGACCATTTACAGCGGAACTGAGCCCGCGTTAGCTATGTTGCCTTTGTGGTCTTTTCCCTCCTGAGGTGTGCGCTCTTCTCCTCCACAGAGAAACGTTGAATGGTCAGGAGAGCGTTTATGTTGCGCTGTTTCGACTATAAAAATGTTGCTTTTGTTCGTTTAGTGCAAACAAAGGCCTGGCTGCGCGGCGCGGCGGATGACTGCAGCCGAGCTGCCTTTACAAGTGTTGTTTGTGTCAAACATAAAGGCTTTTAGTCCCCATCTATGTTCATCCAGCTGTTGCGGACTCTGTAGATCGGAGATGACTGACTACGCCTCTTTATCTCCTGAGCTTTACTCCAGTGACAGAGTATAAATGCATGCACTATGGGTGAGTTCCCAGGTAGTGATGGCAAATTCGGAAGTCAGTTTAAAGAGAGGTTGCTTACACTGCG